TAGAATATACACATATAAGTATTTAAAAACGATTAATTTAATCGGGTTCCGTCGTATCTATGAGATTGTGTTTATCGAAAGTAATAAAAATCATTACCATTCAGATAAATAAATTTCGCCAAAGAGAGGCGAAAAAGTGCATTGATTTCTTGCAGAAGTTCTTCATGCAAGAGGGAAACGAAAATAGTCCGTCTGATAAACTTGAAGCGTATGCCTATTTTGTCAACCAGATCCATATTAAACAGCTTAGACAACGAAAAATTACAACGTTTTGTATACCTTCTACATCCAAAGATTAATTTTATTTAATATATTATATGTATTTAGTTTTATTTATATATCTAGTAATTATTTAAAATTTTTTTCAATTATATGATAATACAAATATATTTTTTTATTATAATTTTTTTTTTTTACTAATTTCGGTTTTTATGGGCAACCGCTTAATGTGGGCAAACAGGGCGCATGTAAACTCCACCGATTGCGACCTTTTTAGACCTTTTTTCATGTAAACTCCACCGGTACGTTTTTTTTACCTGAAAAAAAAATGTAAACTCCACTGGTATGTTTTTTTTTTAAAAATTGTAATCCAAATCCAATCTGATTAATTAAGTTTACATAATTTATGTGGGTGCAGATTTATTATATTTTTATTAAATATATAATTATTAATAATAATTAACAATAATTAAAAAAAAAAAAAATCATAAAAATCAAATATCAATAATAGAAAATTGAAAAATATATAATTATTAATAATAATTAACAATAATTTAAAAAAAAAAAATCATAAAAATCTAATAAAAATTTATTATTTATATATATTATATTTAGATACTTATATCTTTTTTTACACAATATTAAAATAAATGATATAATAATAATTAATAGTGATCACTAGTTCGATGTTAAAATAATGTTAATTAAAATAAATGAATAAAAAATAATTAATCAAAGAAAATTTAGGTTTTAAAAAAATTTGTTTGGTTTTAAAATTAGGTTTTAAAATTAGGTTTGATAATGTTTAGATGCAGCTTTGACGAATTGTATACTGGTAATATTGTTTGCCTTGAATGACGAAAAAATACGTATCGGTGGAGTTTACATTTTTTTTTCAGGTAAAAAAAATGTATCGGTGGAATTTACATGTTATAAATCCAACCCTAAAATCAACTACCTGTAAATCGGTGGAGTTTACAATCGCCCGGTCCCAACGTGCCCACATTAAGCGGAATTCACTGTATTATAATTAATTATACAAGTCAATTTTAAACGTGTTTATAAGACCAATACTTGAGAGTCGTATTGAAAATGCTGGTGGTTAATTTTTCAATGGTATAGTTAATGGTCATCATGATGATATATCAACATAATTAATATCTATAATAATATAGATTTGAATTCTGAATTCTTGTAGCAAGTTTAAGAGCTTAGGAACCATTCAAAATAGAGACTCATACGGATATGGTAAAAACGAATTGCTTAGAAGCATATCCGCATGTCACTAAAAAAATCTATGTTTCGAGAATCTTGGTAATAATTTTTTATAAAATTTTATTTTTATTAAAAAAAAAAGAATAAATAAATAAACGAGTGGATACCGCTCTGCTGTAAATCAGGTATCATATAAGTTACTAATTTGTATGTGTTAAATTTCAATTCAATAATGTATAGTTAGATCCTGTAACGTTATATTTTAATCGGTCGTTAAAGTTTGACGTGTTTCCTATGATAAAATTGTATTAAATTAACATTAGAGATTGAGGTATTTAAGTAGAGTGGTACTCGATGTTTGATGTATATTGTATTTATCTATCTATATATATATATATATATATATATATATATAAATGTATAGATATATTGTATATTAATAAAATAAAAAGACAGATAATGTCCAATAATGTATAAAGAATATGAAGGTTACCGATCTAGGTATGGTGATCCGTGGTCAGTGAGTGTGGGTTTTGCTAAGGATCGTGCTGGTCGTCGCGGAGTCTTCTTTACTATCGTATTTCTGTTCGCGTCGCATTTTCCCACCAATCACGCATCGGTTATTATTATATATTATGACGCGTGCTGGGAAATCTATAATTTAAGAATAATCATACTATTTTCGACTAAGGAATTTCTATTAAAATATTATAAACATTTAACATTCGTAGATTCGATTAATCATTGTTTTAACTACCATACTCTTTTTATCTACGATCAATGTCTAAATTTTTTTATTTGTTGAACATATTTTTTTTCTATTTTTATCCATCTCAATCAAATATGTAACTAGATTAATTTTCTTTAGTATTGAGGCAGCTTTTGTATCTATTCAAAAATTTATCTTTTCTTACATACATTTTTATTAAAACTTTCGATCTTACACAAAAATCTAAATCGTTTTTACCCATGTAATTTTTTATTTTTCAAAAGTTTTTTGTATGATTTCTAGTCACTTTCCAAGTATTGAATTTAATTTTTGTGTTTCTGTAAAAATGGAATGATTTAAGTTTGATAGAATTACGTATTTCAATATCAAAAATTTAAATATATTCACAGTGCTATGCACTAAATAAAATGGAATATACCCAATGAATGATGTTTGACCATCCATGTAAATTGATTTCGTATTCCTAACACATTTTATTTCTGATGACTCAGAATATTTAATTGCTCCAGTTATAGTTAGCAAAATATTGTTACGTGTTTGAAACAAATGAATGTTCATAGATTCAACTGACGGTATATTATATGCTATATGGTGACGTAAATATTGAAATTTTTATGTCAATTGGCGTATCACAAAAAATTATAGTTTTATATAAAATAAAGTATTTAACACTAAAACCTTATTTATAATTTGAGATATCCCATGTGTTATTACTTTTAATTATACATTTTGAGAGATTTTTTATAGATTATTTAAAAATTGAAACCATATTGTTAGTGACCTGAAATGTTTTTATCTTTGTATAAATTCATTACGGTGTTCATAGCGATAAAATTATGTTAGAAATTAATATTCTATTACACTTATAATATTATACATACTTACTAGCGTAGGTACATTATGTTCAAGAGCTTTAAAATGTCAATACCACAATAACACTGAGAAGACGAAAATTTTACGATGAAAATCTGCATGTCCGAGAGATAGATACATAGTCACATGCACTATTCACAGATACAAGTATTTATAACGTGTATTTATTTCATTGTATCTATAGTATAGATAATAGGTATTGATTATACACGTAACGTGATTTGTGAAAAAGGAAAATATTGAAAACCATTTGTAATGTTTTATGAACTAATAAAATTTAATACAATTTCAGAGATTCAAATACATAGAATTATTATATAAAGTAATGTTATAATATATTAATAATAACATACATATTATGCATCTATGTGTATATATTATATTATTATCTGTTATAAGTTCATAATAATGACTATATAGTTGATGAGATTCACAAACAGAACTATGAAAAAAAAAAAAATTAATATAATGTATTGTTTAGTTATAGTTATTTTAATTATAGTATTTTTTTTATTTTTTTTTATTAGACGACTAATACACATTCACGTCAAATATTAAAGTAAAATTTACTCTTTAAAATGTTTACTATCGGATTAAATTCCTTTTCTACAATACATATTTGTAAGTTTAAGGTATATAAGGTGAGATACATACCAGTAAAATGGCACGCGCGCATTTGTCCAAACAATGAAATAGATGAGGTGATGTGGACTTCAAATGATCGTTATTATACATAATGAAATATTATTATGGTCGGCTATATTTTCATATTATTAATTATATTTAAGTAATATCGTAATACTACGCAGTGGAATATAGTAATAAAATTAATCTAGTAATGACAATATGCGTTTTATTTTTATAATACCTAAACTATACATACACTTTAACTATGTCGGCAATGTAGATCTATTAGAGTTTTAGTGAGTATAATATGATAAATTATTTTTGTAATTGTAATTGTTATTATTATGATGTATGTAAGAGTGTTTGGGTGTGCGTGTGTGTATACGCGTGCAAAGTCGGCGTCTATTCCAAATTGGCCGCTGGCACCTTGCTGGGGCGTTTCACGAAGCTACTAAAAGCACTGCGATCGATCTCGTCAAAGTTCTTCTTGACGAACCGGTCGAAATTACTGCGGTCAATTTCGTCAAAGTTCTTCTTGATAAACCGGTCGAAATTACTGCGGTCAATTTCGTCAAAGTTTCTTTTTTGACCTCCGAAAGATACACCACTAAAAACAATAGATATGCAATATAGAATAAATTGTACATATTCTATGAGATCGATTGTACAGACAGAAGAATATGGAGTAGGTAGAATTATATTATGATTATGAGTGTATATATAATACAGAGCAAGCCCTATTATTTGTAAAATTTCGGACTGTACACTTAATTTTACTGCTTTAAACAGAAATTTGACTCTCGCTACTGTCTTGGAAAAAGAAATTTATTATAAATATATATATATGCGTGTATATAATAATTGAATATAACAACAAAATATTTTTGACTGATAAAAATGTTTGAAAATTAATAGAAAGAAATTATAATTCAGTATAATTTAAATTTAAAAAATTCAGGAAATACTCATATTTTCTAGTAGCAGGCATATTATTTAATTTTTGTTTTATAGACTGTAGTGCACATTTGTACATTCGTGGTGCACATTGTGTGTCGTAGTGCACATAAAAATAGAGCCTGATACAGAGTGTGTATATGGGGAGGGTAGGAGATAAAATAATTTGGCAAAATTCATAAACATATCAAACAATTTTTAGTGAACATAATATTATATATATATATATATATGATGTATATTATATACATAAATGAAATATAAATAATTTATATAAACGTGATCACTATACTATTTTGTGTTATCATAAAATAAAATATTATAAGGTTTTATGTAATATTAAATAAAAATATAAAATAGTCATGTCCTCTGCGCAGAAGCCAGAAGCTGTGTAAAAACAAACACTGATTAAACATAATTCCTTTACATTCTTCCGTTGGAAAACGTTTTTGTTTCAAATTAAATATATAAAATAAAAACCCCCAAATTTATCAGAGAAAACTTTTCACACTAAAAATATCATTCCAAATTCATACTATGTATCAAATTATGTTTAAGAGTTTAATTGTAGAAATAATAAATGTCATAAGATTGTAAACCAAAGAAAAACTAGAAAAACCATTGGATTGTGTCATCTGATCCTAATAAAAACCACATAGTTATGTTGTATTAGAAAATTATTCTGGAAAAGCAGCGATCACATAAAACAATAAATGCAAAATGATCAAAGAAAAGATATGGTAGCAAATTATAAACTGTTGTTGTGTTTTTGCAACAAAATGCTAAGAAATTATTGTCTGTAAATAAACTAAACATTACCCAGTTATAATAGATTATTGACCATTGAACAAATAACATTGTAATTATTAAACATTATTATACGATAATATTACATGTTTATATCACACATGATTCAGATATTGTATCTATAATAAACGCAGATATATTTTGAATAAATGTTGAATTAACGCGTACGTATTTTACGTACGACTTATTAATATAATTGTTATTAACAATAATCGATAATAGTGTGATATTTACATAGAATATCTATGTCTATGTCTCGTTATGAAAAGACATTGACATGTGTCAAATTTAAGATACAGTAATAAAAAAAAAAGAAAGACATTTTAAAAAAAGTAAAAAGATCCAATTTGTAAAAAGCCAACTTGTTTGCCTGAGATATACGTCTAGTGTGTTTATCATTATTAAAATTTGTGATTAATTATTATAAAGGTTTATAAATAACAATAATACTATATAAATAATACTATGCGTTATAATAAATTTAATTTATTTTATGGTGAACGATAAAGTCTTCTATAGTACATTGCAAGGAAAATTATCTGAACCCCTCTCCCATGAAAATCCATTCATAATATTTATAAAATGCATTACCTGAGAGTATCAAATCGTTTGCTCTGCCCAAAACCTATGCCGTCCAACGAATTGATATGACGGTTTTGCCTAGCAAAGTACTCAGCGCGGTCTCTCAATATCTCCAAGTCTCTAAGAAGATTTTGTCCTTCTGAAAAAAAAAAATAAATATTAAAATCATAGTTCCTATCTACCTTAAACCTTTGTAGTTTTCTATGTGTCTGCGCCGACAATTATACATCTTATAGAGATTATTAGGATTATTTGTTAGCATTGACAGTTCTTGTATACATACAAATATTTGATATTTCTATATATTATATATTTATGTGTTATATAAATCATAAATATAGATCCTAACGATATCCATTATTATTCAATAATAGTATGGACGAAAGAAATTTGACTTTGTTAGGTAATGTGATACACAAAAACTAACCAATTTAGAAGCAACGGTAGAATAAAATATATTATAAATTGTTAAACGATGGGTCATGACTCATGATGAATGGTACTGATGGAGAAAGCAAAAAGAGACTGACGTAGTGACCAATAAGAAGACATCAGATTAAAAATGTTAAATAGTCTTATTGTAGATAGTATTTTGATATAAGTAACTCGTATATACATGTAATATGAATATGAATGAAGTGAATTACTATTAAATAAACATTTAACATACTTATATACCATATAAATCATGCAGTTAAACTAAAGTGATATCGATTAGAACTATACAGTAGTGATTTTGATTAAATTACTAAATCCTAATTATTATTCGAAACATCTAATAGGTTGATAGGAATCAATTATAAAATTGCTATCATCTTTAAGTAAAATTTAAAAATAAAATATTACTAATTCATAAAGAATTCAGAATGCTCTAAAAGATTAATAAGTTTTATATTATGGTTTCAAATTTAAGAGTTATCTCTTTGAAAAAGTTAAAAAAAAAAAAATAAGAAAAATATATGCATATTGCATATTATACTCATAAGATTTTCTCTTTGAATTTTAGAATGATATTTAAGTAACAATCAAATAAATTATGAAAGTAATATTGAAAATATATTTTTTTATACTTGATTCTCGTAAAAAGTAATCAAGTTACATTTATTTACACAGAATTGATATGCTCTCTGTAAGCTTGAAAACATATATAGTTATATATTTATTTGTTTTTTTCGAAAGAAATAATCATTACAATATTTTAGCACATTGTACATTGTAGAAAATATTAAGTGTAAACCTCTGTAGTTTTATAAATACTACAAATAAAAATTATTTAATCATTAATTTGATAACTGTTACTGTATATAATCATAATTTTTAATTTTTGATATAATTTACTCTTAAACTTAAATTATTTTAGCATAGGTAATCTATAGTTTATGTTAAAAACTATAATAATAATTAGATCGAAATGAATTTTGTTTGACTGATATTTAGCGATCTTTATGAAAGTACAATACTGTGTAATAATATTAATTAAACCTTCAGTACAGTATCACAGCTATTTTATTTGTCTAATGGAGTAGCCGTAAATGCAAAAGCTTGTTATTCAAACATACCTGCTAATCATTGCGAACAAAAATAAAACCACCAGTGTATTCGTTACGGGTGTAATATACTATAATATATATTATTTTGTGTATAAATAGGTATAGTATATATGTATTATATTGAATAATGATGAACCTGTGCGAACAGTTTGAAGGAAATAATGGGGGAGATTCGCACATTACGAAAAACTATTTATGATAATAATGACAAAATCGATTAAAATTCCTGTATATTTTATACGCCATGAACTCGGAAAAATTTTGAAGAAAACGAAAACAATAAAGAAAGTACGATAATATTTTTTTGTAGGTACACTTAAAATATAACTAATGATGTATCATAGAATATGGGATCCGCGTAGGGTATGCATCATTACTAAAATCAAATTTCCGTCGTCCTAAATACACAATATGAGTGAACGTGAACCAAATTTTAATAAAAACAAAAAAATTAATAATATACGAGTATATAAATATATATTTGCTATAACTAGGACTCGAAAGTTATTGCATCATGTTTTTTTGGGGGGCCATTAGATTTACTACTAAGTAAACTTGAAATTAATTACACGACATTACGAAAAAATATTAAATGTATATAGTGCATATTTTTGCATATTTAGTGATTTTGTCTTTTTAAAAGCATATTTTTCAATTTTACCATTTTTTAGAACATATTTGATGATTGATGATATGTTTATAATATAATCAACTTTAATATTTAACTATATATAAAAAAAAAAAAAAAAACTCAATAATGTATATTATTTTGATGGTTTCACTAAGTATTACTTGTATCGTGTTTTTAAAATCTCTCATTGACATAGTTACAATTTCCTTTTTTTATTATTTAATATTTAGTAAAAATTTTAAAATATAAAAATATTTTTTTAGTAAATATTTGCATTTAAAAAAGTTGTGAGAAGAAAAATAATAAATGAATATTTTTAAAGCATAATTGTACGGTTATAAGCGCATAAGTGTGTGCATATTTAATACTTTTTAAGTGCATTAAGTTCTAAGTCTTAGTTATAACTGTTACACGATAATATCACTGAATATAATAATATAATTTTATAGATATGTATTATAATATAGTGTTTACTTATCTGTCGGATTCGCTGCGAGACCTTTGCATGCTGGCCATAGGACGAATCCGAAAAACCAGCACATCGTTGACAATCACCGTCTCCTCGATGTTCAACAATGTTCATTTATAATATTATACTCATATATTATCATGATAAGTATTCATTCGACGTGTGTCCAAGTACAGTGACTACAGTGTATATTATGTTTTATATTAAACCATTATATCTAATAATAAGAAAAAGAATTCATACGCATGCGTCTCATGCTACATTAACAATTTCAATATCTCGTGCAAATATATACAAACATATATGTGGCTTATTACTAAAGTGTATTGCATATTTAATGTATTATAATACTTACCAAAAATTGTAGTCCACCGCTACTGCATCGAATACCTTACTCGTAATCATCGTACTATATTACGAATTCAAAGTGTCATAAACAAAAGGGTTTGAGAGAGGGGGTTATAGAGTGCATGTCATCTCCACTGCACTTTAAATTTGTTTTTAGATGATAGGTCATTCGTATTTACAATCTACTATATTATATAATTTGATGTGTATCTACACTTATTGCTTAGAACTGTAGGTAATTGTTTTAGAGATTGTATATCAGTATGCATGTTTTATTATTATCAGGGTCTGTGAAAAAAAGTATAAATAGTTTCTACCGAATCTTAAATTCATAAAAATGGAAAATATATTTTAGATTAGATTTATGTTTTACCGATTTTTTTATCAAAATGATTAAATTTATAATTCAAGTCATATTATTAATATATAAATATTAGGTATGTTTAATTTATTTAAAATACCTATTTTAAGTACCTATCATGCGATGATATTTTGTGAGTTATAGGTATACAACGAATTTAGAATATAATGAGTATGATGATTTATAGTATAAATATTTACTTGCATGATACAGGTTAGTAGGTAGTAGGTATGTACGTCTGCTGTAAACCATCAACATTTTTTTAAATTTATAATTTCCAATATTAATACATCATATTTAATTTAAGGTTCAACGAAATTGATTAGTAACTAGCCTATGAACAGTAGTCAGCGAAGTCGATACAAAATTGACTCTCTATAATTTATAGATATTTTAGCCCCTTACTTCTCTCCTATTTTCTCTAAAATAATTTATACCTAGAGTACTTACAAACTCTAAAGTTATTGCAGTCATTTGTACACTAATTATTTACTTGTGCATAGGACACACGGTTGTCTCTGTAACTCTTGATGTTACACATTAAATACTAACGCTACTGATTACGTGCCATGCATACACAATTACATTTACTGCAGATAGCTAAACAGTATATGTATAATAATATAATTAGTATATAATAATTAGTAAAAATGCATTAAATATAGAAATAACTCTAATATTCCGTTAACCAATTTATTTACTAATTCATCGAGGTGTCAGAACTATACTGAGAACGGGGATAATAACTTTTTTTGCTCCTTTCCCCTCACCCATGTAATACTCTCCACTACAACTTGCTGTATCATTTTACACTCAACCTCCGAGACGTTAGAACAAAGTTTGGCTTTCACCGTGAAAACTTTTTCTTCCCTAAAAAAAAGGCTCACTGTCCGTCTATACATTTTCTACCGTCATTAATACAATAATAAAAGCGGGGGGATTACACAAAAATATTTATGGGACAGTCAAAACGACATTTGACATGATACTGCGTAATGATGAACGTTCTTACTAGCAATATAATCCCACCATAGATGAATTAAAAACGATAACATTTCACTGTTATCATTTTGCCGAGATCACTAAGTTTTGTCCTTCCTGAAATTTTAAGCTATTATTACATTTTATGTATGATATATATATCATGTTGAATAGAAGATATAGGTAGACAATTCAGAATATTATGTGAGAGTGTAACAATTGGTTTTGTAGATTCTGTAACATTTTATTATGATTACCTATGTTTTTATTTCGTTATAGTAATAATTTTAAATCATCACAAAGTCTTAAATTGATCAATTCAGTTTCGGGAGACAAAAACAAAAAAAAATCTTTTATGAATTTCCACTTAGAAAAATTTGTAATCAATATTTTATTTCAAGACGGACGTCACTGTTATAGTATCAAAAAAAAACAGCATGAATTTTGTCAAACATTCAAAAAGATATGTTTGTATTTATTAGGATGTCGTTGAGGCCACCAGAAAAATATTATCTTAGCAATAATTAGAACGTTTGGTTTGTAATTTTTTGTGAATAAATACTAAATAATACTTGAATTATAGTCAATAGATATAAGACTTCATACATTTTGAAAACTTAACGATATGAATCCTGTAATGACGTGTTATTAGAAAGACCGCTAACCACTGCGTTCGTATTTATTTTTATTATTTCATAGAAAGATTTAAGTTTGATTAAAATGATTTTGTATACTTGAAGAATTAAATTTATTAAATCATTGTTTTATTCTTATGTAAGTACCTAGTAAATTAGAAAAATAATTAATATTAGCAAGTAGTTATTTTTATAATTTTTATTATTTATAATATTATACTTGACTTTTTTAGCAACCTGGCTTTAATTTTATTTATATATTGTTATTATCGATAGCACTACAGACGAAAAATAAAACTACCTATGAAAAAAAGCTGGAAATCTGCAGATTATCCGTTCGAGTGTATTTTATATGCTGTCATTAAGTTGTAAGTCACTCTTAATTATGATGGATGTGTTAAATTTAAATTCAATGATAAATCATTGTATACGCAAAATAATTCTGTGCGTGTAAATGCCAAATGGTATGTAAACTTCTATAATTATTACTTATATTGCTGTTAATAATACGGTATTAACATATTATTTTAATAAAGACATATACATAAAATGGTGTAAATGGTTTCCTAGCTATATAGCTTAAAATTAGTCTAAACTCTAAATAATTTAAAAATTTCTTTGTGTACTTATTATGAAAATGATTATGTAAGAAACAGTTGAATGTTTAACGTTTAACGATAAATATTTATAGTTTTAAAACAACATAACTTGAACTGTTTAAATATTACACTTCGATCAAAATTGAATATTGTACACTTCGTGTATATTTTAAATATTTTTTAGGGAAATTTAAGGAAAACTTATGAGAAATCTTATATTAAATTTTTGAGCTATTTTTACTTTGTAACAAAAACTATATCAACTTATTTTTATTTTTCTTTCTCAAAGTGTCAACTGGATTAAATTTTCCATCAAAATCCATCCTCGAAATTAAATATTTATGTATCCTAAAAATTATTTCCAGACACATAAATAATAAAAAAAAATTAGCTTAAAATAAATAAATAGAATTATTTAAACAAAAATAAGAGTAAGCGTTTTCTTCGTAAAGGTTTGCTTAAAATATGTATGCTAAAAATATGAATGTATACGTGTTTATTTTTATTTAAATGTGTTCTAGATAACTACATTCTAATAATAATTGGTTAAAATCTTATTTTTCAGGTATAAATTTGATTCAGTTTATAATCATTAAAATATTTTACGTACTGAACACACCATTGATTATAAATACTTATATAACCTATTTATAATTAATGCTAATACTTGATCTAAAAATTACAAAATATTATGATGAGAATTTGTAGTTTAGTAAAAATGTTTAAAAATAAATAAGAGTATAATAATGTATAAAACACACACAAAAAAAATGAACAAAAGATGATTTTCTGGTGACCTCCTAGCAAAAATAAATAAATGAACACGTGAATTATTTTATTCGTTTTTTTTTGCAGCAGCATTCAATCACTTTAATATAATATATTTTAATACCACAATTTCTGTATCGCATAATAATGTTATTCTATTTACGACCGATGTCGTCATGCCCATTAGTATAGATTTGGGTTATATACTATATAGGTTAATTTAATATACGTTATTAAGTATTAATATATCTATGATAATTGAAAAACAAAGTTTTGCAGCCGAATTATTTACGACGGTTTTGAATTTCAGGCGCTGTTCGAGTGTTCAATATTGTTGTAAATTTTAAATTACCGTACAAAATTTGTAAAATGAAAATAATTATTCGAGTTTTGGGTTAGCCAGGACGTTAATATCCGGGTTTTGGTCATCGTGAGTGTTTTGGAAAAAATGAGGAAGGTTTGATTTTTTAAGCGTTTTCTAGGCGTGCTACGGACTCGGGTTAATTCGGATGCAAGACCTGTTAAAAAAAATATCGTTTGACCCCGTGTGCGTGCGAGGACGACAGCGGTTAAAAGGACAAGGCCTCAGCCGACGAGCCGCAGTCCAAACAGTCATCTTTCACGTACAAGTAGTACTCGTCACCGTCTTTTGAGTAGTAGTAAGCGTCGCGGTCGTCGTCGCTATCGTATTGAACGTCGGTTTTGGACCACCGGGCTAGCGCCAGCGGATACTCGGAGTACTGCTGTTGCATTTGTCGAGCAGCCGACTGCAGCTGTCCGCGGACGGACAACGGACTGTCCGTGGCCACGGCCAGGCCACCGCTGAACCGATCTGAGCGGCTACGTTTGGCCGCCATTGTGTGACCACCGTCCAACCGGTCCAGACTATCCCGTTTGGCCGCCATGGTATGACCGCCGTTCAATCGGTCCAG